ATGCCTAAGTAAAACCTCAAAATGAAAGTCCCAAACCAAAAGCCCTGAACAACAACTTCATCCCGACTACTACTACTACTACTACTACTACTACTACTACTACTACTACTACTACTACTACTACTACTAACAGAAGTATATATAGTAGAAGCAGAAGAACTTATCGTGGGCGTGGTGCCTTCGCAGGCTTTGGCTTTGGAGCACGAGTTGCAGGCTTGCCTGAAAGCTACACCGGCTCAGACAGTGCCGTAAGAGTGTCATCAACACCGCGTGTCGCAATAATGCCTGAATCCTGTAACCCTTCGCAAGGCGAGAGCAGATGATCAACAATTTGTCGGCCAAGGGCAGCTCAGACACTCTTAGCAGCAGCTCGGATTGGGCGCTTCAGGCTCAATCGCATCTTCCGCCTGTTCGGTACCTCCGTGATGTGCGATGAGCGGCCAGCACCAGGGGCTTTCGAAAGACGGCATGCTAGTGCCTACTCCCAAACATTGAACACACAGACAAAGCAAGCCAAAACCAGTTCGGCTCCAGGGGAACATCGCGATTCAGGGCCCTTGGGGCAGCCCAGGAAAAGGAAACTGATGAGTCAGAAGTAAACGCCCCTGGCGTGCATGAAAGCTGCAGCCTCGAGCATGGGAATCGGCAACTCCAGATCGTGTTTGTCAGCTGCCGCTGCGTTGGCACAAGTCGAGCTCATGGCGACAAAAGCAGAAGAGAGATCTCTATGAACATGTCGGCATCTACTCCGTTCCGTGCCAAGGAAGAGGAATCAAGCGTGAATGTGTGAAGATTTTATGTTGTGTAGGAACTAAAACCCTATAATCCCTAGGACACGTGGCCTCTCTCGCTAACATACACACAGCAGCGCAACTGAGAAAACCCTGACCAAGAGGCGGAGGGATCGTTTTGAGGTAGGGCCTCAGTGAGATAGTAATCCTACGCTGTACAAAAAGTCGGAAGTCGTAGACATGCCAAGAACTCCAACGACATGATGTCGGAATGATTGAGGAAAGTCTATGGCTTGGGAGGGAATTATCAACTTCTCCACTCAGCACCAGCCGCCTCTTTCACCAAGGGCACGACCTCTGTCACCGAAGCTGAAGATCCTGACATCCCTCTCATCATGAAATGCTGAGCCTCTCCGCCGTCTTCAACCATGAAGGCCTGTGATAGACGAATTACATATCAGCTTACATGGCAACTTCTGATCCTTTCCGGTGTATCATGACTTGAGGGTGAAGCAAAATACTCAAACCCGCGGCCTGGGTTGGAGAGAAATCGCGGCGGCTGTGAGACTCGATCTGCACGCATCTCTGCTCGTCACCACCTACTACCCATGGAACTAAACTAAGACTCCAGGTGTAGGACTCAAAGCCTCTAGAGGCTACTTGAAGGATCATGGGACTTAGTAAGTAGGGTTATAATTAGGGTAACTATACTTATAACCCCAATTAGGGGACCTATAACCTTACTTACTAAGTCCCATGATCCTCCAAGTAGGGGTAGATGCTGATTCTCGGGGTTTCTCGTTGGTGGTGAGACTTCCCAGCTGGGCGGTGAGGAAACCCTGTGGAGGGGTTTCCGAACATAGGGGACCCCCAACTTATATTGCCCTAAACAGTAGGATCCTTATGACTTATGAGAAGGACACCAAAATAAGGTACGAGTAACCCCCCGTATTTTCCGTCCTAAACCCTAAACCCTAAACTCCCATGTCTGACATTCTTGCATCTGAAATCGAAAGGAGACCTCGGGCCTCTGGGATTCACGAAAGACTAAGACGGAGCTTTCCAAGACCACGGGCGCCACAGCAAGATAAGAACTATTTAGAGCTTCCGGTTTACGGTTCAAGGTAGTTACAACTATATCATGTCATGGTTACTATAAGAACTATTTAGGGCTTCCGGTTTACGGTTCAAGGTAGTAACAACTATATCATGTCATGGTTACTATAAGAACTATTTAGGGCTTCCGGTTTACGGTTCAAGGTAGTAACAACTATAATGGTTCCTATAAGAACTATTCAGGGTTTCCGGTTTACGGTTCAAGGTAGTTACAACTATAATGGTTCCTACAAGAACTATTCAGGGTTTCCGGTTTAGGGTTTAGGGTAGCTACAACAATAATGGTTACTAGAAACGCTGCCAAAAAAGGGCTTCTACAGACCCAGGGTAAAGCCCTGTGCCCCAAGCCTAACCCTAAACCCTAAACCATAAGCCCTAATCGCAGGACCCCCTGCTTGATCCCAAAGACACCCCCGAGATTTGAGAAGCTCCACGTGCCACCCAGGTCTACTATAGGGGCCTTCATAATGAGTTTAGGGTTTCGGGTTTAGGGTTTAGGATTAGAATAAGGCTCTGGGCCATACTTTTTCTATAACTTTAGTAGGGAACCCCCCAAAATAGAAAAGGTAATTATTTAGGCCCCTATATTACATGGTGGCCAAAACCCCAGGCTGACACCGTCAAAACGGTCAGCCATATGTGCTTTGAATTCATCACTCTCTCTTCGGCATTCCTTTCAGAGGGATCTGAGCCTTAACTGCTTCCGCCGGCGAGGACGACGAAGCTTGGCATTGAAATTGGCCCGGAAGAAGCCCTCAAGGCGACTCTTGTATCTCCCGTGCTTCGGGGGGCAGGTCATCCTTTTGCCTCGGCTCGTCTTCGCAGCGGACTGCGCTCTGCGTAGGCTCATGCTAGAGTTGTGAGGGTCTTGGAGCAGGAATGGGCTTCCCTGAAGCCAGCAGGACAACTTCTGCAGCAAAGACGGATGGAAAGTCAGAGTTTGGGGTTTTTTCTCTCTCGCAACCCGGACTCTGCCAGAGGAGGTCTCTCTCGGTTCGCAGTCTCAATACAGCTCGGCACTACAGGTAGGGTTCAGGTCAGCACCACAGGACCTAAACAGGATACTCAAAAAGACTACGGCCCGAAACAAACAGGAAGAAGGCGGTCTGAACCCTCAAGACTTCGGCATTACACGGGGCATGATACGGGGGAACGGATAACAGCTTCTAGAAACAAACTCAGCTCAACTGGCTACTGCGCACCAAACCAAAGATTTTCTTACCCTATGACTAGACAATTGACACAGCATTCAGCGATCCACCCGGACTCATCCCTCACGCCCTTAATATTATGGTTCAAGGATCTGTGCTGCTGGAATTTCCTCCACCGCAGATTGGAAGCGGCGTCGTTTGGGCCCCTCGCAGGCGCTTGTGTTCACGGTACGGTCGTGGAGATTCTGGATGCGTGCGCTATGGGCGTAGCGGGGTTGACTTTCGGAATTCAAGGCTTTGGGGTTATACCTTGCGGAGAGACCATGATTTCCTGGTTTCGCATGCACGGTGCGCAGAGCCCAGACAAGCCTTTCTGATTGACCTCAGCTTCATCCGCCCATGTAAACCCTGGTGAAACTCCAAAGAAGTAACTCTAACCCCATACCTTTAACCCTTTAAATCCCTTGCATCCTGCACGCCAAACAGTAAACATTCAATTTCCTAAATCTCTGGATCTGCAACGCACGGCTGCGTACAACTCACAAAAGCAGCCCTGGGAGCTATGAGAACGCCGCGAGGCCTAGTTCCTACGCTGTAAGCTACACGAATAGCTTAAGCTACCGAAATAGAGACCCAATAGTAAATAATCTGATCCCCTTACTGTCGTAACTCTAATGAAATCTAACATGCATGCACTGGGTCCGCAAAGACAGCCCACCTTCGCGGGCGTGGAAAGCTGCTCTGCACAAGCTTCTTCGCCCTTCCTGCTGCTTTCGCGCCATAAAACCTAAACCCTAAACTAAAAACATCTAAAAACAAACCCTGGAAAGCTGTAAAACCCTGAACTCAGAAAAGGGGATGCCGGCAGTCGAATGCAGCTTTGGCCAAGAGACGGACTCGACTCTTGAGCGCCGCTCTTGGGAGGTGTGCAGGGGCTTGACGCCGCAAGGTTGACCTTAGGGATTTAAGGGTTTAGGGCTTAGGGCTTAGAAGGCCTTGAGGGTTCATGGTTTTGGGGGTTTAGTGTTTAGGGTTCTTCTGAGTACGGTTCAGGATTCTCGGTTTACTCATAGGCCCCACAGTAATTAGTTCCTTTTTGTGGCTTATATTTAGGATCCTATTAGGGAATCCCAAAAAGGAACTAAATACTATGGGGCCCTTGGGTAGGGTTCAGGTAAGCTTTTCCACAAAGAGATGCCGCACCGCCTCATATTAGCGCCAAGGGATGCCAACATACGCACAAAGACGACTATGAGTACGGACTGCCTGCATCACTTGTCTTGGGAAGGGGAGGAGCGCAAACAGCTTAGAGGGCTAGCAGGCCTCAAACAAATCGGAGTGCGAGGCTCGAGGGGTAGGGTTTAGGGTTGAGGGCTTGGGGTTTAGGGAGGTTGGTAAGATGGGATACCTCTCTTAGGCGTTGAATGAACTCTGACGGGGTAATGTCCGAGCTGCTCAAGTCTGAGAACGCGCGATGTCCTCTTACAACCCAGAACTCCTTGTAAACCCTACGGAAACCCTGAGACGACCCAACAAAAACAAAAACAAAACCCTTATGAATGTCCAAAGCAAATCTTGTGCTATGTGATCCTACTTTTGAACGCGTAAGAACCCCTTGGAGCTTTATTTTTGGTAAACATAAGACATGATTCCTATAGGAAAAGTCCGACCTCGTTCATAAGAACACTACAGGCCCGACCTGGGTTTCAGAACAATAGGGGACCCTAATATAGCAGCAGAAATAGCAGGATCCCTATTATAAGTATCCCAAAAGAAGGTACCCCTTGTGTCACTATTATAAAGATCCCCAAAACAAGGTACCCTAAACCCGAAACCCCAAACCCTAAACCCTAAACCCTAAACCCTAAAACCCTTTTGCATCCAGGACTCTTGCAAGCAGCCGGGAAACTCCACAAGACAACCCTAAAACCCTAAAACCCCAAACCCTAAACCCTACAGTAAAACCCTAAACCCTAAACCCTTATGTCCGGCGACTCCCACCTCCAGGCCAGAGAGCTGGAGAAGGCGCGCTGCCGCTTCGGCCGGGCTCTCGCAGACTTCCTCGCCATGCCTCGCCGAGTCTTCCAGCAGACTGGCCAGGAGCTGCAAGTCTTGCCTTAATGTAGGGGCTTTAAGAATTAGAAGAGGGTTTTGGGGTAGAACCTACTATAATTTAAATGAGGAGCCCCCAAAAAATGATTTTGGTATATTTATTTAGGCCCCTGCAGCACATGGTCCAGTTTCCTACGGGATATGAAGCCTGCTATACTGGGATAAGGAAGTATAGAGGGATTCGACTAGTTGTACGCCACAAAGAACTTACAAAAGCAGTGACCACAGAGTTGCGCGCCCATGCCGCCCACGCTAGCTCCCATGCCGCCTGCATGTTGGAAGGGCGCCCAGATATCATCCAGATCCTGCTCTGTTCCCGCCTCCAACAGATGTTTCTTCCTCTCCTCGGTGAGCTGCCCCTTGCTCTGCAGCTCCAGCGCCACCTGCCTGCGCCGGGTTTCTAATGCCAGTCCCCGTTTCATCTCCATCTCAATGTCGTGCAGCTTCCTTTCTTCTTCAATAACCAGGGCCAAAAACGTTCAAACTTTTTAGACCCGATATAATAAGGCCGAAAAGTTTAAAGTTCTCCCAATGGCTATCTCAGCTTCTGCTCTTTCATGCATCCGGTCATCTCCTTGCGATAGGAAGCGATGAAGTGCACCGAGCCCCCATCCTGGAGCACCATTTTCGCACTTAGCCCTAAGGAAACCCTAAACCCGAAGCCCTAAGCCCTATCTATAGGCCCCATAGTAGTTCCTTTTTTGGATTAGCTGATAGGATCCTAAATGCAAACCACAAAAAGGAACTACTTTACGGCCTATGGGTACACCCCAAACCCTAGCAAGTGAGCAAGAAACAGGAAGAGATACTACGGAGAGAGAAATGCAGCACTTAAGTTCAGGAGAAGAAAGAGCGGAGCACCCATCCTGGAGCAGTTGGAGGGCAGCCTCCACACGGGAGCGATCCACAGCCACCTGCCTTACTTCTCCAACAAACCACGAAAATAGCAGGTTATAAACTTCCAGAATTACTACTAAGTTCTAAGAAAAATCCAAAAAAAGTTTGTAAAGGTTGGGTATGGGTTTCCCCAAAAAAAGTTTGTAAAGGTTGGGTCTTTTCAGAACGAAGCTGCTCCGCAACCCAGCCCGCGAGGTCCCTCAAGGCCCGGGGCTCTCCTCCCAAGAGCTCCTCCATCTCTTTGAGGCTCGGAACGTCGTCGATAGCCTCCGGGAAAATGTTAGGGTTTACGGTTTATAGGGTTTAGGATTTAGGGCTTAGGGTTTAGGGTGTAGGGTTTAGGGTTTATAGGGTTTAGGGCCCTAAATAACAAGGGGCACCCTTTTTCCTACTATTTTGGCTTTGTTAAGGGAACCCAAAAACGGAAAAGGGCGAAAGGGTACTCCTGGGAAACCTAGTGCGAGTTTCGGTCAAAAAGGGGACGAACTAAAGAAGAATAAGACCCCTCAGCTTAAGGACCTCTCGAGCTCCTAAACCCGAAACCCTACACCCCCAAACCCTAAACCCCTAAACCCTCAACCCCTAAACCCTAAACACATTCTAGAACTCCCAAGTCCACCTCTGATCCTCTCAGGGCCCGCCGGTCGAAGTCGGCGGCTGAAGTTTCTGCGAGATCTGCGGCACCCGCCCGAGGCCCCGGACCAGCTCGAGCTTTGGACCTGCATCTAAATAAATGAACAAATAAATGAATACATATATATATATATATAGATGTATGTGTATATATATATACACATATGTCTAGAACTATATATATATATATTACTATATTACTTGATCACTTTCTAGGGGTTTAGGGATGTATACACTCTCACAGCTCGGACAATGCAGGCAAGGGATGTTGAGGGCTTCGGAAGTTTAGGGCTTATTATGAGGATCCCTAGACTTAAGGTTTGTTGAAAAGCTCCTTTTCAAAGGGTCCGTGTAACAAGGATCCTAAATAATCACTACTGAAGCTTCTGGGCTCCTTAGAATGAGGCTCCTGCCATGTAGGACTCCAGGGCCTAGGAGTTGTTACACCTTCATCCCTTTACCCTAAACCCCTAAACCCTAGCCCTAAACCATGAATTTTGAACAGCCGCACCTGGCGCCTCGAGTTTCAGCTTTCTTGAAGACTGTGACAAGGACGTCCTTCTCGAGATTCTCGGCTGCCTTACGCGACTCCACCTGAAACGTACGGCGCAACTTCCAGAAGCCTATTGCGAGTATCCTATATGCATGCCAGATGTTGCGTGCCACAGAAAGTAATGTAGGGGCCTTCATCATTAGAACAGGGTTTAGGGAGTATATTTTATTCAAGGAACCCCAAAATAGTATGCTTAATTTTTTAGGTCCCTAATAGTACACCGAAAAGAAAAGTTCAAACCGTTGCGAGGCTTTTGGTTCATGGCTGAGGGCTTTAAGTTTTTTTTCCTCCCACCTAGGGGCTTTAGGGTCTAGGGCTTTGGGTTTAGGGCTTAAGGTTTAGGGCTTACGGTCTAGGGTTTAGGGTTTAATGCTTTAGATCTAGAGCTCCACGGGTGAAGCAAAGTTCAGCCAGGAAGCGTCCTTTGCTGCCTGGTCAGATGCCTCCAGACTCTCGGTTCCTCGGCAGTCACGGGACTTTGCACAGCTCTGATAGCAACACCCGGATTGTATGACATCGTCATGACAACACGGTAAATGGCAGATCCAGAAACGAAGACAGACACATCAAAAGGCCAAAATATGACAAGTGCACACAACGTGTAATGTGTAAGCCCTCAACCTCAGTCTAGCTCATATGGGGTTTCCGAAAATAGGGGACCCTAATATAGTACCCCAGAATAGTAGGATCCTTATTATAAGGACCCCCAAAAATATGATAGCCCTTACTTTCGGAAATTCCCATATGTGCAGGTGCGCGGCTTGCATCGTCCAGTCGCACTTGCAAGTGAAGACCTTCGGCAGGAGCCTGTGTAGGAGCTAGGGTTAGGGGGACCCTTGGGGATACAGACCCTCTCAATTAGGGTTTAGGGTTTAGGGTATCTCTCAATAAGGTCCCCCTTGAAAGAGAGCCCAAAGTAGGGTTAAGAAGGGCCTTCTTTTAAGGGATCTCCCGAATACTACCCAGGACTGTGGAAATGTACAAACAGTTCGGATCCAAAGGATTCACCGTACACGCCCACGTAATGTACGGCCCTTAATAATTAGAACAGGGTCTTGGGGTATATTATACTGTAATTTAAATAAGGAACCCCCAAAACAGCATAGGCAATTATTCAGGCCCCTACATGACATCTACGGCATACATGTGTCCTAGTATGTTCTGTGCCTCAAGGTACAGGCATACATCACGAAAGTCGGAACAGAAGCCCCCGCCTGGAACTCAGGGCCCTGGTGCGTCGCATCCATGCCGCCGGGCTAGAACAGAAAAAAGAATCCCACCACGAACCCCAGGATGAGACTAAAGGCAGCGGGCACTTCAGGGTTTGTTGCCTTGCTGGGCTGGCAGGGTGGTCTGAAGAGCCCGGCTCTTCCTGGTTGAAAACAAGGGTGGGGGCCAGGAGTGCGACGCTTCAGAAGGGGCTGTAGGGTTTAGGTTGCGGGTTTAGGGCACCGCAACCCCGTTTTCAATTGCCAGTGGCTTTGTTAAAGGTGGAGCTGCTCTCTGCCCGATGCGGCGTCCGTAAATTAATTAGCCACGAAACCGCGGAACCGCACCAGCCTGCCCCTTGCAAGACCACAACAAGGGGTCGGGCAATAGCGGTAAACACGCTAAGAGGCCCGGAAAGACCTAGGACCCCTGTCACGAGAGAGTTCTGCATACTTGATAGCCATGTATGAAATATCCCACTGTAGACCAAATATTACATAACCATTCAACAATATTAACACCAGCCCCTAATCCTTATATGCACCTACTGTGTGTCGCACCAAAAACACTCCAACTCCTACGCCGCTGGGGACTACCTCGAGGGCCTTAGCGTAGCACCGTAGTAAGGAGGATTACGCGGCTGTTTGGGTATCGGGTTTAGGAAAGTTCTGGGCTTAGGCTTGAGGGTCATTTCAGAAAAAGGTTTGCTTGCAACCCCACGTGCTGAATCCGCCCTATCCCCCACTAGAGGCCTGATATTGAAACATGCAAGCTAGGTACATCAGGTTGTACTACCAAGTTCTATGATTTAGGCATCACCCTCAAATAATAAGGCTCTCTATAGGACTTCAGAAAGATTTCAGAGGGCCTGAGATTCCAACGAACCTCATCCTCAACCCAAAGTGCGAATTGCAAGCAGCAGCACGGCATGAACATGCAAACATCAAACGCCAGCAACATCAGTTGAAGCAAGAGACTGGTATGCTGCAGTACGGTCAAGGATTCGGGCACGGCTAGGGCATGTGAGAGCTTTGGGGCACGTGGCGGTTTCGGAGCAATCCTTCGGCAACCATAAGCTGAGACTGAGACAAAGCTGCTTTCAGCATGGCCTTCAAATCCAGTGATGATGGCACCTGCACCTGTGCAAACGTATAGGGTTGACCTCGGCGCCGGCCGAGGAATGGGCCATTCAAGCATGTCCTTTGAAGCCTGAAGTCTTGGGAAGACAGCGATTGCTGAACATATACCGCCTAGCTGATGTCAACATGCGCCCGTCCTAAAGCACCAATCGTCTCCATGCCCCTAGAGAAATGAATCAAGGATGGGACCAGATGTTAGCGTACGAGAGAACCTGAGACTCTTTCACACCTTGCCGGTCAAGGCTCTGCATGATTACACCTGGAAGAGTGCCTTCGAATTGGAATTTCGGTGATGCAATCAAAGCCGGTGTACAGCAATATATTGTAATATCATATCATGAAAAGGCACAATATTTATAGCAGCAGGGGAGGCAGACGAGGCAGCAAAATTCCCCCCAAGAAACCAGCAGACTCTGTCAAAAAGACACGGCGGGCGCCTTCTGCAGCATGCGGGCCCGGTCTTTCGGAAGGACCCATTTCCTTGCGGAGGCAGCTCCACTTCTCAAGTTCGTATTGGCAGTGCTTGCTACCGGCTGAGCCAAGGGCACACCTGTTTCGGACAAGACCTGCTGCAGTGCTGGACCCTCACCTTCTTGCTGGATGCTTGCGTCGTGCACGGCTACCCCATGCTGCCCCCTCCGTCTATAGCCGGCCTTGACACTGCCAGCCGGCACGTCCTGAAGAAGCGAATGGGTGGGAGCGGCGCAGAGAAGAGGAGATGCCGGGTTGCGGACAAAACCCTCGGACTTGCTGTCGACCAAGAACAGCTCCTGGACGACGCCTGTGGATGTATTGAAGGCAGAGACTGGGCCCCTTGCACATGCGACACGTGCTTGCTTCGAAGGGTTCCTGCCAGCTGTACTGTTGCGACCACGACGACTGCTGACTACTGTAAAAATTCCTTCTCAACATCCTCTGACTGCTGCGGCTGCGACTGCAGCTAGGCAGGGTTTAGGATGCCGGGCCCCCCTCCGACAAGGACGAGGACAGCCACGACTGCGAAAAGCAGAAACGACGATGACCAAGACCGCGACCACCACGCGACGGCCATGACGACCCCTGGCCAGCGGCAGCAGCAGCAGCAGCAGCACGACCCCAACGACAACTGATGCCTGCTGGTCTGCTTCTGCTCTTGCCGCTGCTGCGGTGCATGCGGCTGTCCTTACCACCACTCCCACTGCTACCATCAGCATGCAGGCGCGCAGCGTGCTTCTGATCAGCCCCAGAGCGGGCTCGGCCTAGCAGCCACTCTTGCCGGCTCTCGCTCCAGACCTGGATCTTCTCGCCTGCAGCGGCAGCCGTGGACTCCCTTTTCTCGCCCGCTTCGAAGGGCCGAATCAGGTGAGCTGCGCCTTTGGCGATGTCCGGACTCCCGGGGGGCAGCGATGAGCTCGGCGCTGGTGCAGAGGAGGACCTTCGCGTTACGTAGATGATGATGCTCGTATACGGCTGAGCCTCCGTCGCTCCGCGCAGCCGCGGACCAAGTGCCGCACGATGGCCGCAAGGTCTTGCTGATCTGGTCAGGCATCACCCACTTTGATGTGCCTGGAAGAAACATGGCGGTGCTGGGACATGGTCCGGAGACTGGTGCCCGCAACCTGCCGAAGAGCGAACCAAAAGCGAGCCAGCCTCAAGCAAACAAAACACATGGAGGCCGTGGTGTCTCAGAAGACTGCCAGGCTGATAGGGGTGTCTGCCGAAGAGAAGCAGCATATGCAGAGTTTGGGGTTGAGTGACAAGTTGAGGACAAATTTAAAGATCTGAAACGATCCGTACACCAACTGAGCTGGCAGCAGGAATGGTGAAGCCCTTCCCGTCAGTGTCCACCAGGTATGCCTCCTGCACTTCCGCCCATTTGCCAAAAGCTTGGACTTGCAGATAACATCATGTCTGGAACAAGCGATTGCAGCGACACGCTACGTTTTCCAGCCATGAACTTTCGCAGCACCGGATGCTACGCGGTGGAAAAGCACAAAGCATGCTCACACATCGCCATCTCGACTACGTTAGCGACGATGGTTGAAGAAGCACGAGGTCCAGGTCGTTGGGTCCTTTCGGCCTACCTACCCAAAGAATCCTTGAGAGCACGCCAGTGCCGGCACGAGCAAACCTTTGCTGCTGCAGGCGCAGGCCGATTCCGAGTCATCCATGCCCGAGCAAGGAGCCGTGAAAGCTTCTGCTAGTCAGCTAGCCAAGGAAGGTTTGCCTGGGCCCCAACAGTATGCAGAATAATAGCCCTTGATACGCTTTGTGCCCTTATTTTACCTACTTCTGGGGGTTTGGGTAGGGTTTGGGATTTTAGGGCAAAACTGAGTAGGCGTGGCTTCGACCAGCTCCCATGGCACCTTTCCCTCACGGCATCCTCCATTCGGAGGCCGGAGCACAGAATAAACAAAAGGAGGCATACCTTACGACCAGGGCACCAGAGTCTCAAAAATACATCTTCCCAACAACCGCACGTTTTTTTCTCCAAATCTCTTGCAAGGGATCCTCCTTTGTCGAAAATCATCCAGCCATCTGAGGCTGGCCACTAGGGCGCGCATGCCTTGAAGGAGGCGCACCTGCCAGGGCATCCCAAACAATACCCACCACCTTTCTGTCGTGTTCTGGAATTCTGGAGAAGCAGCCGTACTCCGTACCAAAACTGGTTGGGACCAATTACAAGAGAGGGGGCGTACTGTAGACTTCCCTTGAAGGACTGCCGTTCATCCAGAGTATGGAACAATATGGAACATATTATCGTAGTATCGTTCAAACATGAAGGAGACCTCCCTGCTAGAAGCGCGCGGTGCAGTGTCTTGCATCCAAGAGCACCGTGGTAATGGCAGGGCCTGCATTATCTTTGTGGAGAGCACTGCCAGGAAGGCAAGGAAGAGAGGAAGCTGAGGTTCTCGAAGCGTTAGAATGCCCGCGACTTCTGTTTCCTCGACTGGCTGCCAGTGCGCTTCTCGGAGCCTCTTCCTCGCAGTGTTTGCAGAGGCTGCGCAGTCGAAGGCCCGAAGAAATCCGCAAGCTGCGGAACATCCATCACTTTGACGTCCCTTTCTATGGAATCCTGGAGGCTGAGCAGCCAGTCGGCCAAGCCGGAAATAGCATCTGAAGCCTCTGCGGGCACCGACATCCAGCTCTGGTGCTTCGGCTTCTTTCGTCTCCGTTTCGGCGAGGCTTGCGGGCCAGTGTGAGCACCGGCATCTGCAGAAGGCCCCAGGTCGCAAGGAACCCTAAGCTCTTCGGCACTTTTCACCGAATCTGCCGATTTTTCCTCCTCCACGGCGACCTCTTGGGCCTTCACCGCAAGACCCTGGGAGGTTTCGGCTCGCCGGGGCCGTCGCAAGCACGGGATGGCCGAAGCACGAGGGGCCGTTCCCAGGAAGGTTGAAGGCTCGGCTCCTGTGGTCACCTGGGAGGCTCTTCAAACATCAAGGGTTCCGGAGTTGTAGGGGTTTACATACTCACAGTTTCCGATGTACACTTCTTTTTAGGATCCTAGTACTCATGTTATGAGGACCCCGATAATATCACTATGCATATTCTAGCGATACTACCAATATGTTCTAAGGACCGTACTACTATAATATTATACGGATCCCACTCTTCATATTCTAAGAATCTTTCTGTTCATATTCGCACCATCCTACCATACATATATTCTCAGGACCTTACTACTCATATGGCAAGGATCCAGCTACTCATATGTTCCAAATACCTGACGATTAATAGTAGAAGGGCCCTACTATTCCTGTTATGGGCGTACTATAATTATTGTGAAATTTTCTTACTGTTATGAGTATATTGCAGCAGAACCAGCAGTAGCAGTAGCAGTAGCAG